ATAAAAAGTATGTGAAAAATCTCACTAAAAATGTATAAAGCTAACCTAATTGCTTGTGATTGTTAAGATATTTGTTAACTGTACCATAGTAGATAAAGGTAGTATAAAATGGCACTACTCACGTCCGGCATTACTGAGACCAGAACTTCCGGGCACTCCACTGGCACTGGCTGGACCTGCTCCTCCAGCACCAGAACTGGACGGGACTCCTGGGGCCGGAATGTTCTGTGGCAAAGGCTCGTTTGGTTCGGCTAAAAATAAAAAAGAAAATCAAATTATGAATAGTAAATTAAAAAATCTAAAAAAAATCATGTATAAAATAGACAAATACATTTTCAGTGCTATTCATTTGAGTGAAATTCAATGGCTCATTTAAATGATCAATTATAACTTTTGTATTATAATTTAAATATCAACTTGTCATAATCGTCAAGAATGTCAACAAGTACTATGCAAGTGAGAATTTTTGTAAGAAAATGAAGGACACTTCTTTCGTGGAACTAAATAACTTTATTCTGTAATGTATTATCCATTTTGATCAATGACTATTTTTATCATCATTCAAGCAGCATCATCATTCCACTTTCATAAAACTTCAAGTTTTTTTCGGCAAAAAAACTGAATCAGGTACAATTTGACACCATCATAATCATTGGATTGTTTACTATTCAAGAAGTTTTGTATAGATCTAAACAAAAAATGAATCAGAAAGTGCAAGGTCAGAGCTGTATAGTAAATATGGCAAATCATCCCAACCAATAAAAGATATGTGATGTTGTATCAATAATGAAATAAATAAACGATTCGATTTGTCAATTTAGGCTGCTTTTCAAGGCTCGTTCTTTAATTTCGTAAGTTGTTCAATGTAGGCATCAAAATTAATCGTTCGGTTAGATGGTAAGAGTAAAAGTAGTAAATTTCTTGGAGTGAATAATCACAAATTTGGCAAACCAATTTAGACACTGTCACCATAAACAGCTCATAATATTTTATGGGCTTTCGATGGAAATTTACTTTTGCTGAAAGAAAAAAATATGATAGCTGATAGATAAAATATGACCAAAATTTCAAACAGATTTTCCATCTTTCAACGAACGTCAAACGTAAACTACCAATCAATCAAAAAGCTATTTTTTACTGATCTATCTATTAATAAAAGGTATATTACATTTGGACTACGTCAACAAACCTAAAAATTCAACTTAAATCATCTGAGTTGAAAACCGCACTTACCTGGTTGCCAGTATAGTTCAGTCATTTACGCTTAAATTAGGTAAGAATCTCGGAATTAGAAATACCCAGCTTTAAGTCTGTATATACTTGTATATTGACACCCTAAAGTTGTCTCAAAACCTACATATGGTAGGGTGTCAATACCATATGTAGGTTTTGAGACAACTTTAGGGTATCAATATACTATGTTTACAGACTTACAGCTGGGTATCTCGAACTCCGAG